TGCCACGCTTGCCAGACTGTTGTAGAGAGCGCAGAGAATTTCCAGCTTAGTCTCAAAGGCTGACGTTTCGCAGGCTTGTCCTGCCTTGACGCTGCATTCTCTCTCTCTCTCTCCCCATCTCGTTCGTAAACATGACACTGTATTATGGGAAGGCCATTGCGCCGGGTGGAGGAGGAGCCCGGCTACGCTGACAGCTTTGGCAACGATATGTGGCTCAAAGCAGGCGAGAACCTTGGCTCGGACGAAACGTATCGCGGTTATTGTTGTCGCGGGATTCTTGGCAACTCATCGTTGGTCGAAGGGGGAAGTGCAACACGTCACGATGAGAGGCGACCGCGGGGAGGATCATGTTGAGGGTGGTCGGATCGACTGTACCAGCCCAAGGTACCGGACGATCAAACGGGATGGTCTTGGCGGGGATTCCTGCTTTAATGTTTCCGCTTCTGAGTTCGAGCTTATAGTAGCTTGTATCGTGTTTTCGTTTGTCTTATTGACAGCGGCGTTTTGGGGGTTGGCTTATAGCTCTTGTTGCTAATTTTGGCAATGGAAGAATCAGCGAGACAAGAAGACGAGGTTTGAGTCGACAGATCGTCAATACAATAAAGATCGTGACTAACGCGTCTGTCCCGAATCTGACGAGTCAAATCTCCGCCGTCTCAAATGCTTCATGGCTGGCAACAACAGACGCACAGACGGGGCGCAGCACTGCGGGTAGGTCGAGACGAAGCACATCTCTGACAGTCCCGACTTTGATGAAGCAGTCAGTGAGGAAATGCATTAGAGTCAATCCAGTGCCGAGGCGAGCCATGCTTCTGCGGTTGCAGCTGTGGAGATGTCGCGCGGTAGGTCCATGACCTCCCGGTGTACTTACGTAGGGTGTGCTGGGTCACCCACTCGTGAAGCTGGGGAAACGGCGAGTGGGCGGCGAATTTTCTAAGGCGAGCCAAGGCGTGAGGGGTTGGCTGGACCTTGGTGACACTTTGTTGTATGACGTGAGTGATATTCCCCCCAGCTGAGAATATGGTTTCTCCAGAGTGGTACCACCTCCCCCTTCCTCAAAATGCAACTCCTTCCCATGTTGCCGTCTTTCGCTTTCGACAAGGCTTATACCGACGCTCTATCCACATTTCGCTGAAGAACGAACATACGATACAAGAAAGAACATACAAGGCAGAGGGAGGGATAAGAGGATTGCATCTTAAAAAGTGGAACTCAGGGGAACCAGATCTTCTGGTTTGCAGGCGATATCGCACCATTCCCTTTCAGGCTAGAAGCGAGGCGCTACCGGGCAAAGAAGGCGACGAGAAGGAAGGGACGGACGCTGCACACTTACTTGCCTGCCCGCTGGGGGTTTCTTGCCTGTCCAGTACAGTCACCGTCAGTGCCTGTCACTTTGCCGGGGTGGGGGAAGAGGAAGGGGACCTACCTGCCTTGTCTGCCTACCTCCCGCCTGCCCTCGTCGTTGGCCAACCCTACCTGTTCCGACCCCGAATCTCGAGTGGTCCTTCCTCCGAGGCTACGCTACCTGCGCTGCATACGCTAACGGAAAGGGCCTTTTCGTTCTCGCCTCTTCTTCGTCCTGGTCGACCTCTGACCTGACCCGACTCTATTCGATTCGATCTCACCACCATTTTGACGACCGTTGCCAACGCCTCGACAGCCACGACACGATCGCGCCCGTCTACGACGAGTTGCTGCGACGATTGACTCGCCTGCGCTCTGCGTCCTGCGCTCTGAGATTGCGCCTCTCCTTCCCCCCTCGCTCGTCATTTCCTCCACCCACCCGCCACAACTCATTTCCCACGCTGCGTCTCCTCGAATTCCCCATCTGGGCTTCTCTGTCATCACCACCGGCCCATCGAGCGACATCGCCCGAAAGCAAAAAGGACGCGACGTTCCGACGACGGACTGGCGATCGCAACACCGTCGGTCTCACTGCATCGGACGTTCAGCTCTCGGAAGCCTTGACTCGCTCAATCGACGCCGTTTCATTGATGGTCTTCGCTTCAACGTCTGCATCAATTGCGCCATCCCGGTGTTCACTCCCTGAACGAGGGGCACACCGATAGCATCACTCATTCATCGCAGACACGTCGTGTCGCTCGCTGCTTCTGACATACATCGACGTCAGTCGCCGACTACCAATCGCCTGTTGAAGCGCTGTCTCTGCCATCACCTTCGGCCACCTTTCTTTCTCTTGGGTGTCGCAAAATCTCACCCGAAATCGCCTATTCACTCATCGCCAAGCTCACCTTGCTTCGCGCCAAGCGTTTCGTCTGCCAGTCGATATCTCCGTCATCTCGCACCCGTTTCCCGCCCAGTCTTTCCAACAGACCTCAGAGGAGGAAGCGCTAGAGGTCTTTGACGTCTCCTTGGGTGTATATTCATCCTCGATTTGGGCCCCGGAAACCGACAAGAGCCGGTTCTCTCTCTCAACTCACCTTTCGAGCCCTCGTACGACCGACCCTGCTGAAAGACATCGTCACCTTACGCCTTCACCGTCGAATCACCTTTCATCATGAATCTTCCCAGTTCTCACATTCCTAACCGCCGCAGTAGCAGTATTGGCTCACTGACACCTGTGCGCGACCTCCTTTGCACTCCACCCCAGAAGGCCATCGCTGCGACAGCCGTTCCCACCAAGTCGAGGCGGGTGCGGACTGGCTGCCTGACTTGCAGGGAGCGGCACTTAAAATGCGACGAAGGGACACCAGATTGTCTAAACTGTCGGAAGAGTAGTAGAGAATGCAAGCGCGGCGTTCGGCTTAATTTTATCGATGTCCAGGTCAAGAAGCCCCCACGCCTGCTCCCCCCCACCATCGAATGGTCTGTTCAGTTCCAGGATGAATCTCGCCAAATCGCCTCAGAATACGTTGGCGGACTGAAGCGCTATGCCCACCTCCCAAAAAACCCAGCGGCCCCTGCCCCGCCGCCACCGCGGCCATCTCGACCCAACTCTCCGCCGTCAGGCTCATCAGCATCGTGTGCACGCAGCCAACGTAGCAGATGCATCCCTTCCGCCTCCTCCCACCCATTTCCAGATGCCTCCCGCCCCGGCTCTCTACGGCTACCCACCAGTGCGCAATCATCCTGACGACCGCGACGCTGCTTTGCAACATGCACCAGACGCACCATTCCCCACGCCGCAAAACTCTGGACACGTGCAACAACCTTACGCCTTCTCTCTCCAGGACCATTTCAACGCCATGCGTGAAGAGACTGCCGCCCGTCATCACAACCACCGCACGAGTGACACCTCGTCGTCTGCAACCTCGATCGCCCCGCTGGCTACCGGACCGCCCCCTTCATTCCGTGGTGTCGCCCACAACACTCTCGCTCTCGACGGTATGATGACGCCGCCACCATCGGAAAAGGCAGTCGCAGGTGAGCGAGAGTATCTGAATTCGCCTGAAGAGATACACTATATGCAGGTCTTTGTTGAGGAGGTTGGCGTCTGGATGGACAGCCTCGACAAGGAGAAGCACTTTAGTCGGCTCATTCCCTACCACTCGCTGAAGTGTCCCATGTTACTGAACGCTTTCCTCGCATGTGGCGTCAAGCACCTCACCCTGACGCACCCGGATTGCAAAGACGACAAGGCTCTACACTACTACGATACCGCGACGACGCAGCTCTTGAGAAGCCTACAAAACCCGGACCGAAACACTGCCGAGTGCGCAACGACGGCCGTTGTGTTGAACGTTTACGAGATCATGTCGGAGAAACCGGGTCAGAGGATGCGCATGAACCACATTGCGGGCGCGCGGGCACTGATTCGGGAGTGCGGCTGGGATGCGCGGTCGACAGGCATCGGAGCAGCGTGTTTCTGGCTGAACATTGGCATGGAAGTGCTCTCGTGCCTCGCATTCAACTGGCAGACATCCTGGGATCCCGATCAATGGGGACTTAATCTCGACTTCGCAGACAAGCCGGAGATAGGGGCCTCGGGTGGTGGCGATGAAGAGGAGTGGGTGCATCGCATCTTCTACATTGTTGCACGAATCGCCAACTTCCGGGCGTCGATTCCGAAGTTCCAGGAAGCGAGCCCGCATGATGAGCAGATCCGCCTGGGTAACCGGTTGGCACTGTGGCAGGAACTTAAGAGGCTCTGTGACAGGTGGAACAACGCATGCCCGAGGACGATGCATCCTTTTGGTTATCTTTACCCGACGCATTCGCGGAGCAAGTCCGCGTTCCCCAACGTTTGGTACGTCTCAGCTACCAATGCTAGTTATATCTGACGAGTCTGGTCTCTGCATTTGACTATCAGTTGCTGACAAACATCAGGCTCATCAAGCGCGCGGCCATCATAGGCCGCCTTTTTTACCACACTGCTCAGTGCATACTAGCACAGACAAACCCCATGGAGCCGGCTCGGGCCTCTGAAGAGATGCGTGTTCTGCAGCTACACCACGCGCACCAGGTCTGCGGCATCGTCGCGCACACGCGTGACCGCGGCATTGCCTCTGTGGCGATCCGTAGTCTCGCCATTGCGAGCGCAGTGTTAACGGACCCCAGAGAGCAGGAGGAGGTCCTTTGCATTCTTGAGAGGATCCAAAATGAGAGCGGCTGGGGCCTTGGGTCTGTCGTCGGTGAGCTGAAGAGGGGCTGGGGCTGGGGAGACAATAGCCCCATGGCCATGTTCTACGAGCAGGACACACAGCAACACCAGCAGCAGCAACAGCAGCCGCCGCTTCAGCAGACGCAACAAACTGTCGCAGGACCGGTGGCAGGCTACTCCGGATCAAAAGTGAATCCGCTGTCATTTGCGGACTTCAGCCTGCCGAACCACCCGTACCAGAACTGGTACGAGCCACCCAATAGGACGAACGGGTACGCGCCGCAGGGGCTGTTGTAGACAGAGTCAAGGCGATAGCGATGGATTTGGCCGGCGGGACACTGGCTGTCCGGAGGCATAGATAGGGCAGAAGTGGAGTTCTGGATCGGTCTTGTTCGAGGGCGTTTCTTACGGGCATTTTTGGCTGGATGGGACATGAGCGTCATTCTTCCTTGGGTACATGATACCACATATGACGAGGGGGACAGGTTCTGGTTTGCATGGTCTTGGTATATTGGTCTATGAGTGTGCTGAATGGTTGAATGAATGTCCGATATCGGACGCGTGCTGTGCTGTGCTTTTATGCTACTAATCGCGGTCCTTCTGTTCTGTCCGTCGTGATTTGTACGATTCGTGAAATTTATGCTGGCGTCTAGGAGGCAGAAGACCAAGAAAGCTGGTCTGTCTGTACCCCTTTTCTGCTGGGGGTGAAATATCCGTCATCATCAGTTCGACTTGGCAACCTCGATGCCATACTTGGCGTAGGGGAACCCCTCGAGCGTCTCGAGGTACTCAGCCCAACCGTCGTCAAGTTCGCCCACCTGGTGCATGTCAACGTCGCCCGCCTCGCCCGTCCGCCCGGCCAGCACCTCGGGCTCGCGGCCTGCGTACTCCTTCTTGAGCATGGGATGTGGGCACCAGATGACGCGCATGCCGGCGCGCCGCCCAGCCTCGACGCCGGGCACCGAGTCCTCAAAGACGAGACACTCGTCAGGCGTCACAGGCGTCTCGCCGTCGGGCAGCGAGGCGTTGATGGTCGCGAGGGCCAGTAGGAAGATGTCCGGGTGGGGCTTGCCGCGGCCGGGGGCGATGCGGGCGTCGTCGCCGAGGACGCGGCGGTGCGGCGCAAAGCCGGCGAAGAGGGGCTGCAAGTGGGATGTCTTGAGCTCAAAGTTGGCCGTGTGCGACGACGTGCGAGGGCCGTGTGCAGGCGCGGCGCGGCCTCGAGGGGCGCAGCAGCGCGGGCACGCCCGGCAGGGGCGCCGCCGAGGGGAAGTGCTGCTGCTGCAGGGCCGTGTTGGCGGCGAGGTACTCAGCGGGCGTGATGGGGAGCTGGGCCCACTCGTGGAAGATGGCGGCCGAGGCTGGGCCCGGGCGGCCTTGGAGGCGCGCCTTGATGGACCAGGGGAGCTGGGGGCGGCCGTGCGTTGCGAGGATGAGGTTCGTGCAGTGTGTGTAGAGGTCTTCGGTGTTGAGGAGGAGGCCGTCCATGTCGAAGATGCAGGCGCGGACTGGGGGGAAGCTTGTGATAATCGTGTTAGCTATTGGTCTTGCCAATGGCAGCGGGGGGGGGATAAAGATTGGCATTGACGGACTCTGTGCGCGGCGCCATTGTGAAATATGTTTTGCGATGCAGTGGGAGCTGTTATCGTCAAGTCGAAATGGCAATGGCTGTTCTCCGTAGATATTTCTAAGACGTTGAGCAGAGTGACTCAGGGGGGGTCGTTGTTCCTGCAGATAGAGAAGGTCAGGCCTGTGGAGGAGGGGCAAGGCCGATCAAGCATGTGCCCCACGGTATATTTTCTTATCTCGATTAGAGGGGCCAAGATCGACCCTCAGCCTGCCGATAAGTTACCTCGTTTGTCCGTTAGCCCCCCCGTTCGTCTGTTTGCTGCATGAGATGCATTCTACCCACTCATGGCCATCCGCTCTCACATCATTCTTCCGTCAACAACAGGAAGGTCACTCAGAGATGGCCGCAACGGAAGAAAAGGCCAAAGCGGCAGCCGATCGCCAGGAGAAGAACATCGAGAATGACGGCCAAGAGAATGAGGCGGTCGAGAAGTTTCCGCCTGAGGAGGAAGCAGTACGTTGACGAACCTTCTGAGCACAATGTCTCGGCCTGTCCGAATCCCCCCCTGCTAAAACGACGCAGGCCCTCTTAGCCGAATCCAATACGAGCAAGACTGAGGCGAACTCTCTGTTTGCTTCGTCAAAGTATGAGGCGCCATCACAAAGTATGACGAGGCTGGTGCCACGTGCCCCACTATCTCGATTACGAGCTCGCCGTCCTGCGGTCCCACATTGCCGCTGCCATCTCAAGCTCGAGCAGTGGAAGGAAAGCTGTCTCGACGGCTACCGCTGCCCTTGACGGTCTCGATCGCATCGACAAGGAGGAGGCCCTGCGCGCCGACGAGGCCGCCAAGGCCAAGGCCGCCGAAGACGACGTGGAGGAGGAGATTGTGTCGTCCGGCGCCGGCAACGCGGCCACGGCTCCCATTGAGGAAGACGAAGAGGACGCGAAGCGACGGAAACGCAAAGAAGACGTGCTGCGCATCCGGGCCAAGGCACTCATGCGCAGGGCCAGGGCCCGCAGCGAAAAGGGTGGATGGTCCGACCTTTCGGGGGCGGAGGAGGACTACAAGCTCCTTGCGCAGATGACGAACCTGGCTCCCGCCGATGCGAAGCTTGTCAGGACGCAGTTGAGGTTGCTTCCGCCGAGGACCAAGGCAGCGCAGGAGAAGGAGACGGCTGAGATGTGGGGCAAGTTGAAAGACGTGAGTGACCTAGAGCCTGACTGAAGCCCGGCCACTGAAGGCAGACGCTGACAGCCCTATAGCTTGGAAACGGCATCTTAAAGCCGTTTGGATTGAGCACCGAGAACTTCCAGATGGTCAAGGACGAGAAGACGGGAGGGTACAGCATGAATTTCAACCAGGGAGCGGGCAAGTAGACTGTCGCATCAGCATTTTTTCCCCACCGGATCAAAGCAACAACAGCACATACCCTGGAATAACCCCCTTTACACAATCTCAATTCAACGTTTAGATGTGCAGCAACGACTTACGGCCCAGGGAATCGGTCGCCACCATTATCGAGTAAGCTTAGTTCAAGAATTGGGGAGTCAGGTGACTAGGGTCCTCACTCTATACCCACGCGTCTTTTGCATGCCGATAGGGTCGGAGGACTGGTGGAGGAGGGGCTCCGGTCAGTGAGGTTTGGGGACAGGTTCGCTAAACACAGCTTCCAAGACACCCTTGACGCCATGTCCCTGGAGCCTGGAGTTCGCCGTAGGCGTGCTTCCCCAGATACCACACTTGAGTACAGCACTTTCTGTGGTTTTACCTGCCCGTACCGTGGGGTGATGAGCCCCCACATGTCCTCATACACGCCTCATACACGCCTGCTGAAATGTGAGTCTGATGCCTGCAGAATACATCCGGACATCGTCAGTATCTTGTGCTCCTTGCCCCAAGTGTTGGGACTTAGGCGTAACATCGATGATGAGCCGTGAAAAGACTGAAGATGGGGTGTCGTACATAGACTTTAGGTCGATCTGCATCACCGGATCTCTCCGGCCAGCGGCATCAGCGGTCACAAAGTGTCAGCCTACCAACGCATCGAATGACGCAATCTAGACCTTCAGAACTAACTAGCAGAGAAAATCATTCCAAGGAGAAAACTGAAAAAAGGCAAATCGATCCATGTAGAACAGGCAATCGGGTCAGCTCTTCTTCCAGTCTGACCATTGGGCCCGGCCGATCGCTGGCTGGGCTGGCTGAATTCCTGTTCCGCCCGATTGCGAGTTGGTGGTGGCACCACCCACCGGGTGCGACCGAACCACTCTCTGGCCAGAACCACACCACTTTACGCCCGGCGCTGCGCAATCGTCGAACGGCGCACCGCACCACCGTCGAGATGTCGACGAGGAGAGACGCGATGGATCATTTTATAAATACTGAATGAGGCATCATGTGAGGTTCTGCTTTTGGGTTGCATCATCGACATCGACATCACATCAACCGGCCTACCGCCTACGCCAACCACTGCAAGACACCACTACATCAGTTCCCGTCTATACGACACCAAACCAAATATGGCTTCTCGAATCATTCGGCTTCACGCCTCGACTACTCCTCCTGCCATGATGAGGTATGCTACCTCGTCCAAATGATTCTCTTCTAATCAGCTCGCTAATAAAAGGCAACCAGGTATGGCCCTGCCCTCATGGTCGGCACATCCATCGCTGTCGTTGGCAGCTTCATCGCCAGCCAACTCACAACATCTTCGCGCAACCTGGATCGCGCCTTTGCCAAGTACAACAGCCCCCAGAGCGAGGCGTCCCGGAAGCGCAGCTTTGAGGGCGCGCCTGACCCGAGGACGAACTTGCTCAACTGCCTAGGATGGAAATAGGCTGCAAAGAGGATACTCTTGACGGTGAAGAGCGGACGTGAGAAGGTTTCAAGGCGTTTTGGGGGATCATTTTAGGAGTTGCACGTTTGAGCTGCAATCATAGCTCGGTAGCCTGGAGTTGCAGATGCATTGTATGCAACTATCTGTATGTTCATGTCACCGCACCACCTGTATTTTGGAAATATCTCATGCAACTCATAATTGATGTGCCTGGCAGGATAGTAACTAGGTACACCGCCGTGCCGCATGGGAAAATTCTCAGAAGGAAAACAGAGGCAGTGTTGCACTGGGGCGATGCCGTCACGATCCCTTGTCCTCCAGTGTTCGCCTTGCCCATTGCAACTCTAACAGCTTCAGGCCGAAGGGTGGCCAAACTCGGCGTTCTCCCTTTCCTTGGCCAGGTCGAGGTTGTCCTGGCAATCATCAAGATGCTTTTGCATATCACCAACAACCCCGATCCAGGAAGCCAGACGTCTTGCCAACTGCTGGTTCTCGTTCGCAAGTCGGCCTTTCTCTTTTTCGATCTCGCGAATAATGGCACGGAGCTGGCGAACCTCGTCGTCCAGCTTGTTAATCACGGCCTCGCGTTCGCGATTTCCGCTATTGCGAGAGTTGTCTTCGGGAACGGCCAGGGTCGAAGATGATGACTGGTTATATTGGCGTTGGGGATTGGCCACTGGCAGGCCGGCCTGAGTCGTAGTTGTATGGCTTGTGGCTGCGACGGGCTGATTCGCCGTACGAGCCTGAATTCGGGCCCGGCGAAGGGCCTGCTGTTGGGCTCTCTTCTTGGCCAGGTTCTTAACTCGATCTCGGGTTGTGTCGGACAGACGAGGTCGGGTGTGGCGCGGGCCCAACGGTATGGGGTCGTCGTCGGTGGAGCTGCCTCGCTCAACCTCATCGTCGTACTCGTCGTCAAGCTCAAACGTGCCGTGTTCCACGCGGGTCTCGAGGTCTGAGCCTACGCCGGCGTTGCGGGTTGCGTCTGATGCTCCGGTGCGTCCACGCACTGGGTCTGTAGCAGCACATTCGATGAATGGCAGCACCGTATCTTCCTCGGCCGTCATAGGCGGAAGATCCAGAGCACGGGCAATGCCGGCGCGGTAGCGAATGGCTTCGGGCTCTTTGGCTATCTTTGGCGGCAGCTTGCCGCCATGCTGGGCTGTCATGACAGTGATTGCTATGATGTCCGCTTCAGTGTAGCGCCTGTACCGGCGGACTCGATCCCAGGTCTTCAGCGCGCTGAGGTTGTTGAAGGATATGGGCTTCCAAGTGCCACCCTTCGTGGAGCGCTTGGGTTGAAGAGGGATCTGGTTTTCCAGGAGTATTTCGCCGACCTGTTGTTCCAATAGCATGGGGATTTCAAAACCATTCTCAAAAGCTTCATTCAATACATCTGTCCAAAGTTTATAAGTCTTCGATCCATCATTCCAGTCATGGTCTTCAAGCCGATCCATGACTTTTTCTTCCACGTAGAAAGATAGAGAGAAAAGCAGTTCTATAGTATTTGAACACACTGATAGAGAATTAGAGGTTGAGGTGGTGGTAGGTGTGAACGCTTAATGGCAGCTGAGGAAGGTGTGGACGCGGGCGAGAGTATTGGGCAGGAGTAGCAAGAGAGGAAGGAATATGAGTTAGGTCAAGCCTGAGTCGATCAGAATTAAATTTAAATCAAGGGCTAGGCATCTACATTAGCTAGTCACGTTACCTCTAACTTATTTCTAGATCTCACCATAGTTGCCTGAACATAGCACCTTCTGAACCTTTACTAGATTCACCAGCATCCACAAGACCAGCATGTAAATATATAAGTCTAGAGAACATATAGTATAATGCTTATTACTATGTCCTCGTAATATGTTTATGATCCTAATCTTGATGATGTTTGTATTCCGTCTTTCGTGCTGAAGGAGGATGTCCCCTTTGATGTTTCCCTTACAAATGCATGCTTACCTTTGGTACCTACATGTCTAGGTAGGTGACTCAATACATCCCAGCCGTCCTTGCCGACATAGCATCCCATGAAAGGCTCACTCGACACCAGAGCCTTGGTTGCATTGCAAAATCTCCGAATACAAGTCTTTTGCCATCATTCAACAACGTCTCATCGTCATTGTCTCGCCCGTATCGATGGAACGCCCTCATTGTCGCGTGAACTCCACCTTTGGCGAAGACATGCCGGTATGAACCATGGTCATTCATAAAACAAACTCGGCGCCTCGATGCTAGCTGATAACTTCATGTACAGAAAGCTTTGAAAGTTCTGCCAGCACTAGAATGAAGTGAAGGATTCGGGCAAACATTATTACGTTAAGAGCTGACAGGGCTTATGCAAACATGATAAAGCGTATATGGTCATTTGAACCGAGCGAAATCTTTGATCAAGTGATAATTTGTGTACAGGTCGATCGAATCAAGGTCGTAGAAACAATGAACTTAGGAGATATATCCAAGATCAGCATCATAGAAACAAAGCTTTTCAGAAGGCCAGATGTAGAGAAGTCCAGGAGGGCTAGAATGGTTACTTAGGGTAACTCTTAAACGTAGAATGCAATGTAAAGCATAGACCGGAAAGTAGGTGTATTGCTATGAGTAGTTAAGAGTTCGTAGGGAGTAACTTAACGTCGATGAAATACATCATGCAGGGACTACTAAGCAAAGATGTTAGGAGGTGAATATAGAGCTACCTTAGTAAAAGTACATACTGAGTACTCCTTAAATAGGCGCCCTCGATCATACCAGGCTGTATTATATAGATGAAGCTCCATAGATTACATTGATAAAAGAGAATTCTATCAGGAAGCACTCGCAGAGCCATGGAATAGGGGGGGAGTAATAGGCTGAGGGCTGTGAGAGTGTATATATCAGGACTATGTTGAGCCTTGTAGCTGCAGAGAGTCAGGATCTAGATATGTTTCTATTTACTTAAGGTGTTACCCATTGAATGCAGATCTCATGTACAGAAGAACTTCTCAATCTGCTCACCTCTACTCTTTGATAGTTTCAGAGGGATCAGTAATGCTATCAAATGGTGAACACTTATTTGCAAGAAGAGATTTGATGAGCATTCTGTTTTAAAGTGCCTAGGTGCTTTTAACCAGCTCCAGGTATTCATACATATCAGCCCTGTACGTGCCTCGCTTCCCAAAGAGCCATTCACCTTGCTATGCTGATCACATTCACCCTTATCCCCCCCAGGGCAGTCACTCAGTATCTCCTGGAAAGCATATTCCCTGAAATCATGTGAGCTTGGTCGGCTTTGTGAAAAAGAAATCCATGATTGTTCCAACACGGTGGACGTGAGAAAGACGGGTGGCTGTGCCGCGCCGGCGCCAAAGGTCGCTCATCAACCGACAGCTGCTATCTGCAATGTCGTCGATGCCGAACCGACACAGCATCGCTAGATATATTCTGACGAACTTTGTCCACGATCTACAGCTCATGGCTTCTCGCTGGTACACTTGACTTTCCAAGGAGGCTGGAACGGTGTCACGAGAATACTGTTCCCTGGGCTTGAGCTTGGGATGGGTGCTCAACCAACACCTGACAATGCCACAAATCTGACATACAAGATTTATAGAAACCTCTTTTACTGTGGCTAGGTGGTTGTGCTGGTGACTCGGGAAGTGTTCATCTATGACAACCGCAAGTCAGTGGCACATGGCCCAAATCCACCGAATCGTGAGCAGTTTCTCGCTTTCCACGCAACAGACCCATTTGTCACTTCTAGCATCGGACAAATACATGATACGCTGTATCTGTACGATCTATTGAGATTCATGTATCTCACATGAGGTTTCCAAGAATGAGGCGGTGGGGAGTGCGTAGACGCCGCAGTACCTTTAATAGAAGAACTGCCTTGGCAGAAACAGGTATATGGTTCGGAATTCCCACCGGCACTTCTTAGTGCGAAGAAAAGGCAACGGCATTAGACGACTCGTCTACCGAGTAAATTACCTGGGGGTCAAAGATTAGGCTCATTTGCGGACCCCGCCAGAATAGAGATTGACGTCAAGGGATTTGGGTCTCATCATGAGTCGTACACACACCAGCCATGCCACTTCACCCACGCCCCTAAGCTGCCTAGGCACGACCTCACAGGACAACGGGTGGCGTTCTTTAGGCTCAGCATATTAGCACTCACCCATCGCAAATGTATCAAAAATGTAATCAGCTCCGGATGGTTTGTAGGCGTGCTACTTTCAAAGGAATTGAAGGCGACGACGGGGAACAATGAAGCTAAAAAGACGCCACGGATCTACATGTGCGGACTGCCCACATGGCTTTCCATGCCACACCCAGGCACGCGGAAAACATGTCGCCCTGCGGCGGCTCCCACGTTAGAAATGAGACACTACGTCACTTACCGCGACTGATTGTTTCCCCTTTCCGGCCAATTTTGTAGGGACCACTTGTCCTGCCGTATAGCCGCGTCTCACTTGCTCGTCTTATGGATTGCATGCGACAGGGACACACATGTAGAGGGTCAGAAAAATTGGACCTGCTACTTAGTACGCGTAGTCAAGGCGCATCAGTGATGCCTTACGTGGGCAATAGTATAATAAGGTTGTTAAGGTCTCATAAATTCTTACAGATAGGTGAGGGGCAGGGGAAAAGGGGGCGATCCCCACTGGAAAGGTAGCGAAACGTAAAGGGAATAGGCGCATGAAAAGGCTTCATTATGCCCTGGCCAATGCTGATACCTAAAGCTTATGGGCTGGACAGGGCGAGGGGAGATGAGGCGTGTCAGTTTGGGGATCAAAAATATGTTCTGGGTTCAGCCCTCTTAGAGCTTGCGACGGAATCGTATTTCTTGTGTCGAAAGCGCGAGGAGAAATAGAAGCCACTGACATCATCTTCGCTGGAACTTCTTTCGCAATCCTTATTGAGAGCACATGAAGGCAATGGTCATGCAAGACAGCGCACGAAGAAGCCCACGCCCACGGTTCCGGCCCACCCGCGCATCCACATAATGCACAGGGGAGCAGGGACACAGGGGCGCGGGTACTGGCATGGTATCATCCAGTAAGGTTAAATTACCACACGATGTACAAGCAAACTGTATTAGAGTTCAGCTTTCTCTTTGAAGGAGGCGGGCGTTGGACAGGGCTAACCCCAATTCGTTCGTATACTTTTCTCACACGCGCGCCCCTAGTCTCCCCCAACCACGCACGATCACTGGTGCCAGAGACGAGACAGAAACAGGCGCAGTTTTGTCTCCCCCTTCCGTATCTTTCGAGTCGGCGATTAGTACCTATGCCGCGGCATTTGTGAGAAACCTTGCAGAACTGTGGTCTGTCTTGACGATGCCAGAATAGCACATTAACTGATGATGAAGATGGGCTCTGGCTCAGGTTTGAGTTGCTACATGTGATCCAATTGGAAGATATCTGGGCTTCTTCAATAGTCTCAGACTTTAACGCACAACCTGGTTCGACGCACATGCAATACGACACAAGCAGCACCTGATTCGTTCCATCCATGACCTTGTGAGGCTTCGCCCATCTGTTTTGCATCAGCACGTCTCGATATTACATGTACATGATGAGGCTCCGCAAGTCAACGCGACAAAACGGCCCACCGGCATGATTGACAGGACAACACAACGGATGAACCCGACAAGCCGACAATGCCGGAGGCGAGCAAACTTAATATTTTGAGAGTCATTGCTGAATTACACTTGCGGCATCCCTTCGCCTCAAGCTTCGCAGCCGAGTCAGTGCCAACGTCGGGCTGGCTGGATTCCTGCGACTGCCTCTTAAAGCCCTTAATCCCAAGTGCTGTCCCATTTTGCATTCCTCTGATCTTCTTGATTTGATCATGCTCTAGTCTTGTCATCACTCATTTAGACATAAACCTCGAGCTTCCCCGACTTTGGCTTCCACTGCTTGTTTCACTCCAAGCCTAGTCGACACACTCTTTTACAGATCGTCTCGACAAGTTCACTCATTCACTAGTTCATACACCATCCATCAGCCTTGAGTGTGTGAAGAGATCCACCATGCGTTTCTCCGCCGTTCTTACCGCTCTGCTCGTGGCCTGTGCCGCGGCCAAACCTCATGGCAAGCGTGACGTGTGCCCGGCCAAGCCCCCCAAGAGCAGTCAGTCGAGCACTGCCACAACTACTAGCAGTAGGCCAGCCCCGACTGGCCCCTTTTCCGACGACGCCTCTTGCGGTGGACCCAACAAATTCGTCTGCCGCTCTGGGACATGCTGCTCTAGTGCCAACTTCTGCGGCGTCACTGCTGCCCACTGCGAGGGAGGCTGCCGACCTGAATTGGGTGATTGCGGCTCTCAATTCGTCAAAATCTCGACCGGGCCTCCTGGCAGTGTTTCGACCGACGGTACCTGCGGCGGCACCAACGGCTGGATATGCCCCAAAGGCAACTGCTGCTCGCGATTCGGCTTCTGTGGTGCTACAGCTGATCACTGCGCCCCCGGCTGCCAGCCCACCTTTGGTATCTGTCCCAACCCCACCCCTGGCGGTAATGCCTCGCCTGACGGCACTTGCGGTGGCTCTAACAAGTTTATCTGCGCTTCCGGGACCTGCTGCTCTAAGGCTGGCTTCTGTGGTACTACTAAGGACCACTGCGACGCCGGCTGCCAGTTTGATTTTGGTAGCTGCGGCGACGCTTTCGTCCCGGTCCCGGGCGGTAATCCCCCGCCCCGCGGTAGTGTCTCTACCGATGGCACCTGCGCTGGTGCTAACGGCTTGATCTGTCCTCAAGGCAACTGCTGCTCGCGATTTGGCTTCTGTGGTGCTACGGCTGATCACTGCGGCACCGACTGTCAGCCAGCCTTCGGTATCTGTAACACCGGCGGTGCTACATCTTCTTCGACCAGCTCGAAGCCGGCCCCTACCGGCGGCATTTCGCCCGATGGCTCTTGCGGCGGCACCAACGGTTATACCTGCACACCGGGTAACTGCTGCTCACAGTTCGGGTTCTGCGGTGCTACGACTGGCCACTGCGGCACTGGTTGTCAGTCAGCCTTCGGTATCTGTGGCACCGGCGGTGCTACCTCTTCGTCGACCAGCTCCTCGAAACCCGCTCCTACCGGCGGCATTTCACCTGATGGCTCTTGCGGCGGCACTAACGGTTATACCTGCACAACAGGCAACTGCTGCTCACAGTATGGCTTCTGCGGTGCCACGACTGGCCACTGCGGTGCTGGCTGCCAGCGTGCCTTTGGTATCTGCACCTAAGGTATTCAAAGTGGCGCGAGCGGCTGTGTTACATCACGTTATGAGCATGGCTGATGTGGAGCTTTGGAGATGAGTTGGTATAGAACATAAGAAAAGCGTCATAGAGAAGCTCTTAATGCCGTCTGGAGTATCTCGTGGTCAGAGAACCCTTTTTTGTCCTCTGCCCCTCTTTGTTTCCCCTGAGCTTAGGCTTTGTTGTAAACCTTAATTGTGCTGTATGTACCCCTTTTTCGGTCGAAGATGATACATATTTCCTTCCGTTTGATATATAGTGCACTTGGTAGTCTTTTGGCCCGGAGCTCCTTTGACTCTTTTCTCCCGTGGCCCTGGATATTGGGTCTCGGATTAGGCGGCGCTCGCAGCCTCTGATTCTACCTA